GTTTTACTATAAATACTAATGGATCGGTCCGTTTAGTGTAATTCTAGTGCACAGGTAGTGTACAGACAATTCAACAGCTCATAAACAGTTAGTGCACCCGGCCTTCACAGTTGGTGCATAGGAGGGAATGGTAGTTTAAACATAACAGCGCGATTCATAGCTACTTTTATATAAGGAATTGCATACAACAATATTCATACACAAAACAATCAATAGTCAGGAATTGTGTGCTTATTATGCAGTATTACTTGTGTTCAACACGAGAGTTGATTTAGTATATTGAATATTATTGTGTTTTGAATTTTTGAAAACTATCTTGATACTTTAATAATGAGTTTGTGGAGTCACATACGATTAGTGTATATCTGGAGGATGCTGGGGATAATAGTCTATGAATTCGGGACTAATTTCTTCGGGCTTAGACGTAAAGTAAAGACAGATAAGAAACTGAACGGACAGGTAGTTGTGGTGACCGGTGCTAACACTGGCATCGGCAAGGAGACGGCCTACCAAATGACACTGAGGGAGGCCAAGGTATATATAAAAATAATTTAAACTTGCATGTTTTAGCATGTTATACTGTATTTAATATAAATGCTAGTAATTGTGATAAACATAAATACATTGTTTTTATTAATAATAAAATTTTTTACTTATAGTTAAAGATTATTTTAAAAACATTTATTATAATTATTAATAATATAAATTAAACATTTATAAAATGTACGTTAAATTACATGACTTTAAAAATATTTATAATTATCTGAAAATCAGGTATACATCGGGTGTCGAGATGTGAAGAAGGGAGAGACGGCTGTCAATGAGATTCAGTCAATGAATCCAAAGGCAGACATAAAACTACTAAAACTTGATTTGTCTTCACTTCAATCGGTCCGACATTTCGCCAAAGAGTTGTCTCAATTGGAGTCCAAAGTGGATATCCTTATCAATAACGCGGGGGTTATGGCGTGTCCTGAATTGCAGACTGAGGACGGCTTTGAAATGCAGTTTGGGACCAATCATCTAGGTAATTATTTTTCATAATTATTACACTTTTGCGAGTCTATTAAATCTAATTATTACTATAATTTTAGGTCACTTTCTGTTGACATTACATTTGGTGCCATTGCTGAAGAAGTCACCGGCGGCTCGTGTGGTAACGGTATCCGCGTGTGCCTACAAGTGCGGGCAAATACATTTAAATAACATAAACCTCCGAAACGGTGATTATCACCCGTTGATTGCCTACACACAGAGCAAACTGGCCAATATCTTGTTTAGCCGAGAGTTGGCTAACCGACTGAGACATACCCAGGTCAAAACGTATGCATTAGGTCCCGGTGTGATTGACACCGATTTGAAAAGGCATGTCGAGAAAGTGGATGAGACAAAGGGAAAGGGATTTATGGAAAGACATCTAATGATGACACCTTTCATGGGATCTCAGACTACGTTGTATTGCGCTCTGGATGAGGGTCTGGCCGACGAAACCGGATATTTTTATGAGTATGCCTTATATTACTTAATATATTATGTATTTTTATTTTGTATATTAATTGGTATTCAAATTGATAGCAATTGTCGGCGAATTGATTATATGATAGCCGAAGCCAATGACTACAAGACCGCCAAAGCTCTCTGGGAATTGAGTGAAGACTTAGTCAAACTTGAAGATCATCTCCGGATTTAATTCATAAACATTTGCACAAAAATGAGATTTTCATGAAATATTGTATTTTGCAAACATAATTGTTTTATTAGATTTGCAAACATTTATAAATAAATAATTTCATAAATAAAAATATTATTTTTTTAATTAAATTTATAAATTATGATTTATCAAACTATCAAAGTTTAAAATTATTTACGATTTATGGGAAATTTCATTTTATTAAAATTTCATTGTAATTTACCAAGACATATTTCAAGAGACTATAATTGTGTTTTCCCGTGTTTTACCAGGAATATGATCAGGGTGTTCATGAAATGTAGCTTAATTATGTTGATTTTGATATTAGCTTTCACCGCGTTATATATATTGTATTATATATTAATTTATAGAAATTTAAAAAAAACTTTTAAGTAACATAATCAATTATTTTAAAAATAATCCACTATTGAGCACCTGTAACAAAATAATTTCGACCAACTTTTCAAGCCAATTTTAATATTTAAAATATCATAATTATGTATAAATAAAACATTTGAATTTAATTACAGTTTAAATGAAATACTGTAGTTTTAAAATATATTTTAAAAATTCATATTTACACTTATAAATGAAATAAATATCCGCTAATTTACCCTGATTAATAAATAATATTTAAGTAATGCTGTTTTAACGTGTTTTACCAGATATTCTGTATGATCAGAATATTAATTAAAATTTAATATAATTATGTATTTTTATTATATCCTACATTACGTTATATGCAATATTTTATAATACTGAAAACTAGGCATAAATAATTAATTTATAGTTACAAAATAGTTTCTTCGTGGTCGACCCAGATTATAATTTTAAATAGATTTTACTATTTATAATTGAAACATTTACATTTAGTTACAGTTTGTGTGAAATAGATTTTTAAGCTAAAGTTTAATTATTTCACAATTTTTATTAACATTTTATATTAATATAGTTATATTTATAAATAAATTAGTAAAAATTCTTATTTAATTTTTAAAATTAATTTTGTCTAACTTTTGATTAAGTTTAATTTTATATTGCTAATGTTGGGTATGTTTGCGTATATGGCCTGTTATAAACTACCAAAAATAGCTACCTATGCTCAGATGTCATACACAGTGTTATTAACATACCTATCAAAAGCACCGGTACTATAACTGGCTGATAGGGTAAGGGTGCAGACATTCATTGAACAATTGTCGGGACCAGATATCGGGTGCTATTGTTATGACATGTTTCCCATTAATAGTTACGAAATGTATGAATATTTCTATATTTTTGGTCAAAACTATTTCCTAGTCATGTCACTCGTATAATATATTTTTATGATGATTTAACTTTAAAAAATATATTTTATGTTATAATTGACTAATTATTAGTCAGTTAGTCATGTATAAATTACACGCAATGAATATACTGTATACTCAAGTTTTGCCTGGTCAAAATGTTTAAACATTGGGTAATGTTTGTGACTAAAAAACACACGCTTTTACAAACAATGAACACGTGTTGTATTTATTCAGTTAATATAAATTGTAAACCGTAAATAGTAAATATAATTATTATCTATTTTAACTGACCAAACTATTATTAATTATTAAAATTAAATATTATAATATAATATAAACTCGTGTTTGTTGTGCATAATATTTATTGAATACATATTGTGATATTTATTAATAATTTTCCCAATTTTAACAGATTATTTAATAAACAGCATGCTGAAAAGGTAATAAATTTATTTATTGAAATTTGTGGTTACAAATAAGTTTTCAATGTTTATTAATGTCAAACTTACCATTTGTGATAACATTACTTTATTAAATTAAATACATATTAATTATTAATAAGTGTTTTAACAAAAGTGCAAAATATGTTTGAAAATCGTAATAACCTTTTATTATACGAGTTGTGGACTAAACTCATTACAAAAATCATCGAAAATTTGCGACAAATAATGCAATGGTTGGCCAAAGTGTTGGGACAGACATCCGATATAATGAACAATAACTGCGAAAATAATGACACAAATACTAAGGATTTAACCAAAACTATCAAACTATTGTCTACTATCAAAGGAACTACACATATAATACCGATCCCATTAGCACCTGGATCTCACCCATCAATGCCTATAAACTATCTAAACATTGAGTTAAATCCGGATTTCGAGACAAACCCCAGTTCCCCTTATTTGGCATATATTTCATATACCGGACGTGTAGGTTGTGTTTGGGTGACAGCCATAAGATACTTGTGCGATGAGCACCGGGCGGTCGAGCTTTTTGTGACTAAACTAATAGCAATTGGCAGTCAATATGGGGTTTGTGTTCAGAATTTGCGCAAAATTATGTCCAAACATATGGTTAACAATGGTTTCAATGACTGGACGTATACTCAATGTTTGAATTATTTTGGAAATGCTTTTCAATTGTATTTAAAGGTATTTGACTTTTATCTAAATAAATGACTTTTAACAAGATTTAATTAAATTATTAAATATGTAATATTTAAAATATAACCCCGTTCTGGGTCCAACCAATTATAACAAAATTAAATTAACTAATAGTTTTAATAAGTCATTGAAATTATTACAGTTTTTGTTTGACATTTTTATCAATTATTTATTAAAATATTTATATACTAAAAAGTACAAAACACATTGTAATTAATTTGAATTAGTAAAAAATTTATTTAATATATAATTTATTTATATAGTGGTATAGCAAACATCTATAATTAAATTGTCTATCTAAACTTGAAACAAATATTATATTACATTAAATATTTTGCAGACTTTGGCTAACTGTCCAAACCTGGAGGTCGCGGCTATGGTTAACCCACTGTTCAATACTATGCATACATTTCCATCGAATTTGTTCATTAAATTCACAGATTTATCGCAAATAAATGAAATTAAAACTAATAACCAATCACAACCTACCGGTGCTAACAGCCTAAGTGGTGACCCACAAGTCAAACACACATTTAATTTAGATACTATTAGAATATCCAGGTAAATTTGCTTGTATTAATTATTTTAATAATTATTAATTAGCACTTTATGTATTACAGTTCACCTATACTACCAGTCCCTATCACTAATCTGCTGACATCAGCACCGAGTGTTTCCGAGCACAACCCGATTGACTATTTAGGACTACCAGTGAATGACAACTTTAAGGCAAACACCAGTTCCCGGTATTTGCCGTATAAGTCATATACTGTCAAATGGGGACCGGTATGGCTCCGGGCTATTGCTTTTCAGAGCACCGTTCACTTAACTGTCAATAGATTATTATCCCTATTAGACAGACATAGTAGTAGTAATGAACCCATGGATGAGGGGAACTGGATGTCAGTAGTCAATGAAATGCCAAACATTAGTAAATTTAAGAAATTATTGAATTGTATTAAATGGTACCAAAAACTGCTCAATAATGCATTGGATTTATATAAAAAGGTACTAGATATATCTGTTAACTAGGTAATTAATTCGTGTATAATTATTTTCAGTCATTGAATACCTGTCCCGACATCGAGAGCGCCGGTATTGTGAACCCCATGTTCTATACGTTACACACATTTGATGTTCAGTTTATACTACCCGTCCATGAAGTCAATGAAATCAATGGATTGCGACAAATGTTTGTACAGAAGGGTCCGACTGGTCATCCCTGTCCTTCAATTATCAATGAACAACCGGTGCCTACAGTCAAGTCAATAGTGACTATTCATAAACCTGTGCCGACAATTACTGAGGGAAAGGCAGCTAATGTTAAGTCTATTAAAACTACTAAAAGTGCTAAACCCGTTGTACTACCTGTCCATCAGTCGGTATCAACTAAGGCTAACCCTAAGCCTAAACACCCGGGTATTAAACAAGACGTACGTTCACTGAGAGCCATATCCAGTAAACTAACGGCAAATGATTTGCAAACCTTTCAAACACTACGCGATTGTATTGACACAACTGTCCGACAATTGGGATGTTTTCGACAAAATGTGACCACTTTTTGGCCCTTTGTTTGCAAACTAATGACACAAAAGGGATACAAAGGGTTCGCGAGAAATGTGTACCGCTTTTGGTTCAATGATTTTGTTTGTCATTACTATAGCATTGTAAGTGATTTTTGAAAATTAATTGTTTAATAATTAGTTATTTTTTAAAATTTTGTTTTTATTGGTTTGAATAGGCGTTGAAATATTTGCCTAATTATGAGGAGGCCGTCAAAGTTTACCCGTTTTTCGCGACAATACATGACATGAATTTGTGTCACACAATGAGTTTGAGGTCTTATAACAAGATTCAAAAACTAAGAAAATTGTTTAAAAATTAATTATGAATTTTGTATAATTATTATCATTATTTGTATAGATATTTGTTTTATGTTAATCATAAATTAAATTTATATTTTGTTTTGAAAGAATTTTCTAATAAAATAAATATATTTTCTAATTTACCTATAATATAAGTATATTTTGCCTAGTTAAAGTGGTTTAACATTTAGTAATATTTGTATGAATGATAAAACACATGGTTTGATAAACAATGAAACACCTGTTATATTTGTCTATTTAATATAAATTGTAATTAATTGAAGTAATTATAATTATTATGTATTTTTACT